GGGGAAAAAAGCAGAAAAATGGGGAAAAAAGCAGGAAAATTGGGAAAAACAGCAGGAAAATGAGGAAAACAGAAGGAAATTGGGAGAAAATTGCAGGAAAATGGGGTAAAACAGCAGGAAAATGGGAAAAAAAGCAGGAAAATGGGGAAAAGAAAAAATGGGGAAAGGGGGAAAGCAGGGAAAATGGTAAAAAATGGGAAGAAAATTGGGGAAAACAGCAGGAGAATAGGAAAAATATCAGGAAAAAGCAGAAAAATGAAAAAAAAACAGGGGAAATGAGGAAAAAAGGGAGGAAAATAGAAAAAAAACAGCGGGAAAATGGGGAAAATTGGAAAAAATGGGGAAATTTGGAAAAACAGTGGGAAAATTGGAAAAAAACAGCAGGAATGGGGTAAAACAGGAGGGTCTGAAGCTCAAGAGGGATTTTTTTGGGGGGGAAAATAATTTTTATTTTGGAAAACATGGAATTCTGGAGGAGGATGTCAGGTTTTTTGGGGTGAAGAGGTGTTTTTTGAGGATAAATGTGTGGTTTTTTGGGAAAATGGATATTTTTTTGGGAAAAACTGATTCTTTTTTGGTGGGAAATGAAGGGGTCTGAGGGAGTGGGACCCCCTGGATTCCCAGCTGGACTCACCTGAGCCGTCGTGGCTGTAGACCAGGCAGGTGATGTTGGCTTTGGACTCGCTGTTCACCTGGAAAAGTGGGAAAAATCTCAGATCCAGCCCCTTTTCCAGGGAATACTGAGTGTTAAACTCCCAGGAAAGGACTCAGGAAGGCAAAAATTTGGGATTGAGGACGAAAAAAATAAACCAAAAAAACCAAACAAATAAAAAAAGAGATTTCTGGGAGTTTTTTCCGCTTCTTCCTGAAGAGTTTTCCAGGAAAAGGAGCAGGGAAATCCCAGGAAATCACTCTGGGGTGATCCCAGTGCTCCCAGTGCCCTCTCCCAGTATCCCCAGTACCAGGTGGTGGGGGCAGAACTTCTTCAGGACTCCGTTGTTCTCGTTCTCATCGATTTTCCTCTGATCATAAATCCTGCAGGAATTGGGGGGGGGAAAAAAAAATAAAATAGGATTGGATCCACTCCAGGGAAGCCTTCTTATCCCAAAAAATTCCATCCTAAAATTCCCTGGGATTTTGCACCTGGATAGACCCAGATTTAGGGCAGAAATGATGTTCCCGTGTCCAAAATTCCATCTTAAAATTCCCTAGGGATTTGGGGCAGGAATGATGTTCCCATAGCCAGAATTCCATGTTAAAATTCCCTGGATTTTTGTGCCAGGATACAGCTGGATTTGGGACAGGAATGATGTTGCCATGCCTGAAATTCCATCTTAAAATTCCCTGGAATTCCCTGCTGGGATAGGCCTGGATTTGGGGTGGGAATTTTGGTTCCTGTGACCGAAATTCCATGTTCAAATTCTCTGGAATTCTATCTTGGGATATACCCACATTTGGGGCAGGGAATGACATTCCCATGGCTGAAATTCCATGTCCAAAATTTCCTGGGATTCAGTGCTGGGATACACCTGGATTTGGGGGCTCCCAGTGCTCCCAGTTCACTGGATGAACTGGTCCCAATCCCTGGATTTGGGAAGGCAAAATTGGGGATTTGGAAAGGGAAAGAGGCGGATTTGGGAATTCCTGGTTTTGGGAAGGGAAATCCCAGGATTTGGGATGGGGAATCCCTGGATTTGGGATGGGGAATCCCTGGATTTGGGATGGGGAATCCCAGGATTTGGGATGGGGAATCCCTGGATTTGGGATGGATTTGGGATGGGGAATCCCTGGATTTGGGATAGGAAATCCCAGGATTTGGGATGGGGAATCCCTGGATTTGGGATGGGGAATCCCTGGATTTGGGATGGGGAATCCCTGGATTTGGGATAGGAAATCCCAGGATTTGGGATAGGAAATCCCAGGATTTGGGATGGGGAATCCCTGGATTTGGGATGGGGAATCCCTGGATTTGGGATGGGAAATCCCAGGATTTGGGATGGGAAATCCCTGGATTTGGGATGGGGAATCCCAGGATTTGGGATGGGGAATCCCAGGATTTGGGATGGGGAATCCCAGGATTTGGGATGGGGAATCCCTGGATTTGGGATGGGAAATCCCTGGATTTGGGATAGGAAATCCCAGGATTTGGGATGGGGAATCCCTGGATTTGGGATGGGGAATCCCTGGATTTGGGATGGGGAATCCCAGGATTTGGGATGGGGAATCCCTGGATTTGGGATGGATTTGGGATGGGGAATCCCTGGATTTGGGATGGGGAATCCCAGGCTCTGGGCTCTCCCAGTGCTCCCAGTTTGGCCCCACCTCACGAACTGGTCGCGGCCGCCCACGGCGAACTGGGAGGTGTTGGCGGGGTTGACGAAGATGGTGTAGAGCCCGACCTTCTTCTCCTTCTCCTTCGTCACCACCAATTTCCTGGGAAAAATCCCCGGGATCAGCCCCAAATCCCAGCCCAAACCCCAGCCCAAACTGGGAGCGGGAATTCCCAAGGGAGAAAATCCCAAAAAATCAGCAGGGTTTGGGCAGTGAGGGTGGGGAATGGTCCCATCCTGGAATATTTTACCCTGGAATTATTCCCAGGGGAGTTTTCCGAGGAAAAATCCAAGGGAAAAATCCCACTGGGAGAATTCCCAAAGGGAAAATGTGGTATGGGATAGTTTTTCCTCCAAAAACAGACGGGATTTGTCGGAATTTGGGTCATTCCATGAGAGAAATATTCGGGGTTGGCTCCACCAGGGTGAGAAATCCAAAGGACAGGGAAGGGGTTGGGAATTCCCAAGGGAAAACATGATTTCCCAAAAAAACCCTGATTTTTCCCCAAGCTCCACCTGTTATTCCCCAAATCCCACCTGTTTCCCCCCCAAAAAATTCCCATTTTTCCAAAAAAATTCCACATTTTCCTGACAGAATCCTCATTTTCCTGTCCATCATTCCTCATTATTCCCTCCAAAACCCCCAATTTTTCCCCAGAATCCCCATTTTTCCCCCCAAAATCCCAATTTTTCCCCCCAAAATCCCAATTTTTCTCCCAAAAATCCCAATTTTCCTCCCAAAATCCCCATTTTCCCCCCAAATCCCCATTTACCCCAAAAAATCCCCGTTTTTCCCCCTAAAATCCCAATTTTTCCCAAAAAAATCCCCATTTTTCCCTCCAAATCCCCATTTTTCCCCAAAAATCCCCATTTTTCCCCCCTAAAATCCCAATTTTTCCCAAAAAAATCCCCATTTTTCCCTCCAAATCCCCATTTTACCCCAAAAAATCCCCGTTTTTCCCCCTAAAATCCCAATTTTTCCCAAAAAAATCCCCATTTTTCCCTCCAAATCCCCATTTTTCCCCAAAAATCCCCATTTTTCCCCCCTAAAATCCCAATTTTTCCCAAAAAAATCCCCATTTTTCCCTCCAAATCCCCATTTTACCCCAAAAAATCCCCGTTTTTCCCCCTAAAATCCCAATTTTTCCCAAAAAAATCCCCATTTTTCCCTCCAAATCCCCATTTTTCCCCAAAAATCCCCATTTTTCCCCCCTAAAATCCCAATTTTTCCCAAAAAAATCCCCATTTTTCCCTCCAAATCCCCATTTTACCCCAAAAAATCCCCGTTTTTCCCCCTAAAATCCCAATTTTTCCCAAAAAAATCCCCATTTTTCCCTCCAAATCCCCATTTTTCCCCAAAAATCCCCATTTTTCCCCCCTAAAATCCCAATTTTTCCAAAAAAAATCCCCATTTTTCCCTCCAAATCCCCATTTTCCCCCCAAAATCCCCATTTTTCCCCCCTAAAATCCCAATTTTTCCCAAAAAAATCCCCATTTTTCCCTCCAAATCCCCATTTTCCCCCAAAAATCCCTGTTTTCCCCCCCAAAAATCCCCATTTTCCCCCCCAAAAATCCCCATTTTCCATGAAAACAGCTTGGATTTGTGAGAATTTGGAGCTTTTCAGGAGGGAAAAATCGGGGTTGGCTCTGCCAGGGTGAGAATTCCAAAGGGATCCAGCCCAGGGAGGGGGTTGGGATTGGCTCCAGCCACGGATTCCGGCGGGATCAGGGATTAAAGGGCTCGTCCTGGTTATGAAACCCCGGGATTTGGGCTGGATCAGCCTCCGGAATGACAGCCTGGAGGCTTGGAAAAGTACAGGGAGATAGAAAAACTGTTCTTCCCAAAAAAATCCCTGCTTTTCCCACAAAAAATCCTGGTTTTTTCCCCTAAAAATAATCCAGTTTTGCCCAAAATCTCCTGGTTTTCCTCAATAAATAATGTTTTTTCCTCAAAAAGCAGTGGTTTGTATCCCCAAAAAAATCTACTTCTCACCCAAAAAATGTTTTATCCCAAAATTACTCTGGTTGAAAATAAAAAAAAAATCAGTTTTCCCTCCCAAAAAAACCCATTTTCCAAAAAAATTGCTTGTTTTCCCAAAAAAAATTCATTTTCCCTCAAAACATATCAAAATTTCCTGCAAAAAAATCTTCATTTTCAAAAAAACCCGAACCATTTCCCCCACAAAAATAACCTCATTTCCCCCAAATTCCCTGATTTCCCAAAAAAACCGATTTTTTTTCCCAAAACTCATCTCTTATTCCCCAAATCCCAAATGCTTCCCCTCCAAATTCCCATTTTTCCCCACTTCCCACTTGTTATTCCCAAACCCACGCCTGTCTCACCTCTAAAATCCACGGTTTTCCTCCCAAAAATCCCCTTTTCCCACCCAATCCCTGTTTTTCCCCCCTAAATCCCCATTCTCCCCCACCAGAATTCCCAATATTGCCTGAGAATTCTCATTTTCACACCCCCAAATCACCCCCTGGAATCCAGGGAATTGGCTGGAGAAAACAGGGATTTGGTGGGTGGGGAATTGGATTTCAAGGGGAAATCCAGGGATTTTTTTTGGGAATTATGGAAATTTTAGGGAAAAAAAATAAAAATTTTTGGAGAAATAACAGCTTTTTTGACAAAAACTGGGATTTGGCAAGAGAAAATGGGATTTTTTCCCCTCAGAATTCCCATTTTTCCCCCAATTTTTCACAAGGCAGGGCAAGTCCTGCTTCAGATTGATGGAATCCCCATTTCCCACCCCAAATCCCATTTTTTTTCCCACAAAATTCCCACTTTTATGCAGAGAACTCCCCGTTTCCCATCCAGAATTCTCCATTTTCCCCTCAGAATTCCCATTTTACGCCAAGAACTCCGCATTTCCCACCCAGAATTCTCGGTTTTCCCCTCAGAATTCCCATTTCCCACCCAGAATTTTCAGTTTTCCCCTCAGAATTCCCGTTTTACGCCCGGAACTCCGCATTTCCCACCCGGAATTTTCCATTTTCCCCTCAGAATTCCCGTTTTACGCCTGGAATTTTCCATTTTCCCCTCAGAATTCCCGTTTTATGCCTGGAATTTTCCATTTTCCCCTCAGAATTCCCTTTTTACGCCTGGAATTTTCCATTTTCCCCTCAGAATTCCCGTTTTACACCTGGAACTCTGCATTTCCCACCCGGAATTTTCCATTTTCCCCTCAGAATTCCCGTTTTACGCCTGGAATTTTCCATTTTCCCCTCAGAATTCCCATTTTACGCCTGGAATTTTCCATTTTCCCCTCAGAATTCCCGTTCTACGCCTGGAACCCCGCATTTCCCACCTGGAATTTTCCGTTTTCCCCTCAGAATTCCCGTTTTACGCCCAGAACTCCACGTTTCCCACACAGAAATTCCCATTTTCCCCTCAGAATTCCCGTTTTACACCCAGAACTCCACGTTTCCCACACAGAAATTCCCATTTTCCCCTCAGAATTCCCGTTTTACGCCCAGAACTACACATTTCCCACACAGAATTTTCCGTTTTCTCCTCAGAATTCCCGTTCTACGCCTGGAACTCTGCATTTCCCACCCGGAATTTTCCATTTTCCCCTCAGAATTCCCGTTTTTCCGGTCACTCACGAGGCGGGCCGGTCCTGCCGCAGGTCGATGGTGAAGACCACGGCGTCCTCTCCTGCAGACAGGAACGTGCAGGGCGAGTCCGGCTCCAGCGCCAGCTGGGATTGGGGGGAAAAAAAAAGTGGGAAAAACAAAACAGGAATAGCTCCTAAAAATCCCCAAAAAGCTGGAAAATCCATCTGGAAAAACAACAGGTTTGGGGGTTTCCCGCCCTGAAGAGTGATGACGTCATCTGGGGGTGATGTCATATGGGGTGACGTCATCCGGGGTGACGTCATTTTGAGTGACGTCATGGAGACGACAGCACAGCCAAGGGTTTGAACTGCACCCAAAAAGTGGGAAAATTCCCAAATTCCTGGATTTTTATGGAGCTGAGTGGCCAAACCCGCGCCCCCCGAGCTGTGCGGTGACATCACAGGTGACAACAGCCACATCCAAGGCTTGGAAAATTTGGGGATTGGTTCCTTCTGCTCCCAAAGAATCGGAAAATTTTTTCTCCCGGAAAAAAAAAACTTGGATTTTAATGGAACTGAGTAGAACCCACCCACCCTCATCTCTGGTAACATCACTGGGATGTCACAGGTGACATCACAGTGACACCAAAGCTGTGATGGATTGGCATTTAAGAAACAAACACCTCAGGAAGTTTTGGCTGCTGGAAGCTGATGGGAGTTTTTTCTCCAAAAACTGGTCATTTCTGAAAACTGACAGCAGTTTTGATCATTGAAAAGTGAGATCAACCTGTGAACAACACCTTAAGACCTAAGCCTGGGAATTTGTCTCTGTTTTCTGGCTGTGAAAGGTAACACAGCTTTAGATGGTTCTCATCTCATGAGTGATGGGGTGGGCTGGGCTGGTCCTGCCGTGGTTCCTGGGCAAGGGATGGAGTCTGTGGGGCTTCTCCCCTTCCTGGACCTGCCTGGTCCTGCCATGGTCCCTGGGCAAGGGATGGAGCCTGTGGGGCTTCTCCCCTTCCCAGGCTGGGCTGGTCCTGTCATGGTCCCTGGGCAAGGGATGGAGCTTGTGGGATTTTCCCCTTCCTGGGCCAGGCTGGGCTGGTCCTGCCGTGGTTCCTGGGCAGGAGATGGAGCCTGCAGGGATTTTCCCCTTCCCAGGCTGGGCTGGTCCTGCCGCAGTCCCCGGGCAGGAGATGGAGTCTGTGGGGCTTTAATTTCATTTGCCATTCCCAAATCCCAGCTCACCTTGTGGGAGGCTTCCTTGTGCTGGGCTTGGTGCTGTGACAGCTGTCACCCGAGTGGTGACATCCTCAGTCCTCCCCCTCTTCCCACACCACTGCTCCCCCATTCCCAGGCACCCCAACTCCTGGGATTTGCCATTCCCAGGATTTGGCATTCCTGGGATTTAGCATTCCCTGGATCCATGCTCATCTTGTGGGAAGCTCCTTTGTGCTGAGCTCGGTGCCGCGACCGCTCTGCCACCTCTGTGGTGACATCCCCAATCACCATTCCCCACTGGGTTCCCCCATTCCCAGGCTCCCCAAATCCTGGGATTTGGCATTCCTGGGATTTAGCATTCCCTGGATCCATGCTCATCTTGTGGGAAGCTCCTTTGTGCTGAGCTCGGTGCCGCGACCGCTCTGCCACCTCTGTGGTGACATCCCCAATCACCATTCCCCACTGGGTTCCCCCATTCCCAGGCTCCCCAAATCCTGGGATTTGGCATTCCTGGGATTTAGCATTCCCTGGATCCATGCTCATCTTGTGGGAAGCTCCTTTGTGCTGAGCTCGGTGCCGCGACCGCTCTGCCACCTCTGTGGTGACATCCCCAATCACCATTCCCCACTGGGTTCCCCCATTCCCAGGCTCCCCAAATCCTGGGATTTGGCATTCCTGGGATTTAGCATTCCCAGGATTTAGCATTCCCTGGATCCATGCTCATCTTGTGGGAAGCTCCTTTGTGCTGAGCTCGGTGCCGCGACAGCTCTGCCACCTCTGTGGTGACATCCCCAATCACCATTCCCCACTGGGTTCCCCCATTCCCAGGCACCCCAAATCCTGGGATTTGCCATTCCCAGGATTTGCCATTCCCGGGATTTGCCACTCCCAAATCCCAGCTGACCTTGTGGGAAGCTCCCTCACGCTGAGCCACGCGCTCCGTGCCGCGACAGCTCTGCCACCTCTGTGGTGACATCCCCAATCCCTCTGCTCCCACCGCTGCTCCCACACCATTCCCCCATTCCCAGGCACCCCAAATCCCGGGATTTGGCATTCCCGGATCCCAGCTGACCTTGTGGGAGGCTCCCTTGTGCTGGGCCACGCGCTTGGTGCTGCGGCAGCACTGAGTGGCCGAGAGCTCGGCCACGCGCACCTGCCCATCCCGGGCACACATGGCCAGCGTGGAGTCGCCACTGTTGGGAAGGAATTTGGCCTGGAAAACACGGAAAAACGGGGAAAAAGGTGGGAAAAAGGGATTGGGAGGCGGTAGAGGGAGAAGGGGAAAAAGGGTCATTGCAAAGGAGGTGGAGGAGGAACAAGTGGGGAGGGGAAAGGGATGGGGGGAGTGCTGGAATTGTTCTGGGAATTGTCCCAGTTTTCTTGGGAATCATCCCAAACTCTTCCCTGCGAATCATCCCAAATTCTTCCAGGAATCCTCCCAAAATCTCCCAGGAATCATCCCAAATTCTTCCAGGAATCCTCCCAAAATCTCCTAGGAATCCTCCCAGCTCTCTCAGGAATCCTCCCAGCAATTATCCCAAGAACAGTGCTCGGAATTATCCCAAACTCTGCTGGGAATCATCCTGGGAACTGTCCCAAGCTCTCCCAGGAATCAGCCTAGCTGTCCTGGGAATCATCCCGATTCCCTTGGGAATCATTCCGAGCTCAGAAGTCCTGATTTCCCCCTCAGAATTCCCATTTTTCCCCAGAGAATTGCCATTTTTCCAGTCCCTCACGAGGTAGGCCGGTCGTGCCGTAGGTTGATGGAATCCCCATTATTCCTCCAGAATTCCCATTTCCGCCTCAGCATTCCCATTTTTCCCCTCAGGATTCCCACTTTATCCCTCAGAATTCCCATCTTCCCCTCAGAATTACCATTTTATCCCTCAGCATTCCCACTCCCCACTCAGAACTCCCATTTTCCCCTCAGTATTCCCACTTCCTCCTCAGAACTCACATTTTTCCCCTCAGAACTCTCATTTTTTCCCCTCAGAACTCCTATTTTTCCCTCAGAACTCCCATTTTTCCCCTCAGTATTCCCACTTCCTCCTCAGAACTCACATTTTTCCCCTCAGAGCTCTCACTTTTTCCCTCAGAACTCCCATTTTTTCCCTCAGAACTCCTATCTTTCCCTCAGAACTCCTATCTTTCCCTCAGAACTCCTATCTTTCCCTCAGAACTCCCATTTCCCCCTCAGCATTCCCACTTCCCCCTCAGAACTCCCATTTTCCCCTCAGAACTCCCATTTTTTCCCTCAGAACTCCTATCTTTCCCTCAGAACTCCTATCTTTTCCTCAGAACTCCCATTTCCCCCTCAGCATTCCCACTTCCCCCTCAGAACTCCCATTTTCCCCTCAGAACTCCCATTTTTTCCCTCAGAACTCCTATCTTTCCCTCAGAACTCCTATCTTTTCCTCAGAACTCCCA